CTAATTTGAACAAGGCTTTATTTTTATATTTGTCAGCAGCAAGACTGTAGCATGGTTGTTAAACCTCTCCCAGGCCTAATTAGAGTAGCAATGCAAGCATTCATAATGAATCTCGTGTCCTGGGCTGGAGGAGGTAGCCGTGGTGCTACAGTAGCTTCCTGGCAGACAGTTGCTGGCAGGTTTAAGGTAGCTTGTGGCTTGCAATATTAAGTGACTGTTGAAATTCATTGACTCCACTGCGGCTTATGTGTCTAGATGACAACAAGTTTACACGGTTCTTTTATAGTTACAGCAAATGGGTCCATTTAAATATTTATTAGGTGATTATGGTGATGTGAAATGGAAAAAAAATTGCAAAGTACAGTATTGCATGTATAACTGTTTTAACTGTTTGTACAAAATAGGCCTGTGGTATCATTTGAAATTACAGCATCTTTTTTTCCTCATAAATATTTATAGTGTATCAGTAGCTAGGAATGCTAATTTATTTGCATTTTGTTTCTTATTTAATTTGACAGCCATTTGGGTAGCCATTAAAGGCACTCACTCTGATTTGAATGAAGGATATTTCAATCGGCAGTTGAGTGGCATTTTGATTCGAGTGGGTGAAGTTCAATTTTAGGAGTTCTTTTGGCCTTTATGAGACTCAGAAAGGAGTGTTATCTGTGTGTGCTAAGTGACACCCACAGCCTGCTTCTCTGAAACTGCTACTTTTGAGGAGTTTGTCACAACTATTGGATTAAATATAGTCATTTTATTTTGTTCTTCATCTGGCTTAATCAAAGTAAAAATAACACAAGTGCCAGGTATAAATTAACAAAGAGTTCCTGTAAAATATGAGTGTGACCTGGATGATAGAACAAGCTGTGGCAGGTATATAGATCAAGGGAATAAACACATACAGGAGAAAAAGAAATCCAGTGTATTGACAGCTTGGTAGCTGCAGTTTACTTCTTCATTGCAATAGAAGAGATGGAAGTGAGTCAGTCTCACTGAAGGGCATGAAGGAACATAAAAATGATATCCAGAGGTGTCACAACAAATATGTGCATTTGAAATGCTCTCAGTAATAGCACAGAAAATAGGTATAGTGTAGAGAAATCAGATATAGTACAGTAAATTTAGTCTGAATATCTGTGTGTCTATTGTGTCTATATCTATATTTCAGCTTAAATATAACATGAGAGACTTGCTCTTTGTAATAATTAAATACACTCCAGCAGTTTCACTAATGATGCTATCACTGAACTTTGCTGTTGTTTAGAAATTTAAATTTGCTGCAAGTGGGTGGCATAACTTTCTAAATCTGTATTTTATAAAGAGCAGAAATTAACAGCAGAGAGAACAAATCCAAAGTCATCTCTTGTTCGGGAAAGTGTAAGATGCACATCATTGTCAAGTGGAGGCAGCGAGCAGTTGCTGAAGTCATTTAACTACATTTTGGAATAATGAGTAACATATATCCACAGGTCTGATTTGCTTATCTGTGCAAAGACTTTCTTTGATAGACTCCTGTTACTTTTATCAGGCATGGAATACATTGTATTTTGTTGTGGTAAGAAATTAATTGGAAATTAATTGGTCCTGCCCTCCTTGGTTGCTCCATTCCTTTGGTTGTTTTCATTCTTTTGTTCTTTAGTGCTTTTCCTTCTTCAGTTCTGCCAGTGTCTCTTATGGCCAAACTTGCTCCTTAAAAAATTGCAAACAATTATTCTGTTTCTTTTGCAAGGGATTGGTATGAATGCTGCTTAAATTTATAGCTGGAAGGAGCAGAATTAAGAATTTAAAATAGAAAATAATGAGCATAATTAAGATTTAGAAAACTTCCATGATTAATGTAAGACCAGCAGTGAACAGGAAAATGTCTTCCTTAGTGGAGCCAAATTTGCCAATTGTACCTGAGGAAAGGTGCTGCATAGTCCAGAAATATGGACCCTTACTTCAAATGGAGATAGAGAAGTTTCATACTTTTGAAAGTGAGGTAAGTTACCTTCCAAATAGGATAAAACATTTCTGGAAAGTAAAATGGAGACGTGAAGCTGAATTAATTCTGCCTTAGGCCTCCTTTAGACTTTCTGCAGTATGTCTAGGGTTGGGGTTTTGCCTACTGTAAAGAGTGAAAGATTGACTGATATTTTGTTATTTCACAAATACTTATTTCATTATTAGTACAGAAAAGCAAGACAGCAATTTTATAGAGATATGTTTAATGCTGGCTTTAGTTCAAAGTTGGTGTCCTTGCTCCAAGTTGAGAGCACTAGTGACTGATGAATATGTCTACCATACAAGTAGTAAGAATTACTCAGTTGAGAACAGATTGTTCAGTTTCTGAGAACTTAAAAGCTTAGGTGATTACTTACTGCATTAATAAACTATCTATATTAGTATACAGATATTTAGCCTCAGGCTTAAGAAATCTGTGCTTTATTTCTCCACTACCTTTGAGTGAAGTCCGATTAATTCTCAAGATGGTAAGTTAAACTAGCAGTGCAGATTGAATGTACATCAGAGTGAAGCCAAGGCTCTGGGAATGGCTGTGTCCTTGTGCACACACAGTAACCCTTGGTCTTCAGGGTTGTCAATGTAATTTTTTTCACAAGCACTAAATTCATTTAAAAGAAGGGGAAGGGGGGAGAAAAGAACATTCTTTAGCTTTTTGAGTCTGGAACTTCTGTCCTACTGTTTGCTCAGATTTTCCAGTGAGATCACTTCCTGAATAGGGCATAATATAAATAAGTGTTCTAAGAGGCAGGTACAAAACCTAAGCGTGCAGAAACTGTCCAAATCTGCAGTATCCCGCCAGTGACAAAGCTGAATTTGGTTCAAGTTTTTAAATAAGCTCAGAAATTTCAGATGTGCAGCTTGATTAAGATGAACCTTTATTGAATCTTACGTGTTAAGTTTAATTAGATGTTAAATTCTATTTAGGTTTTAAGAAACCTTAATGTACATATGCACGAGTAAAATAATTTGGTCTGTATAGAAAAATGACAGAATTTCATTTTAATGTACCTGCCAAGCACTTACTTACAAAAACTTTAATGTTTTTTAAAACATTACATGGTTTTACCTCCTTATGAAGTGCTATTCCAAAGACAGATTGCAAAATTCCTGAAGTAGTATGGTTATAATCAGGTACTTTCATAGAAAATTTGTGTCCTAGTTATAGACCAGGATTCTGTCCAACCTCAGTGCAAAAGCTATTTATTTCCCTCATAAGCATTTTGATGCAAGCCTACTTGGAGAAAGAAAAATAAGACAAAACATAATTAACAGAAAACTGGTGGATTAGCCAAGGGCTCATACAGTTGTTTCTGCTGTTAGTTCTTAAGAATGAACTTGGAAAGAATGTTTTCCTTACTGCCATCCATTGCTATCTCTGGTTTCATAACGCCCCTCTCAGTTTTACTTCATTGAGTAACTAGAACTGCTTCTGCAGCAAAATAAAACTATCCTAAATGCAGATGGAGCAAACAGATATTTCCCAAGTATAATAGAAGCAGAAAATTAACTATACAAAAGTTTCTGAAGACCAATTATAAGCAGCAGAATGGAACTGCTCAAGTAGCAGCTCTTTTCTGTGTAGGCTGTTAGCCGGACTTGAGAAATATCCAGGAACATCCCTGGAATTTTGTTAGCTACATATATGCTTTTTCCCTATTATTAGGCAGTAGTGAGCACTACACTAACCATCCTTTTCACTAGTTGAAGTGATATCCAGGTGTCAGTTTCCAGTTTCTGCAATATCTGCACCATCCTGACTCTCAAAGCCTCTGTACTGAAGCAGGCATTGCACCTCTTGTCTGGCCCTCCCTTTTTTTAAGAACCCTGTTCAATACATGGGTGGGGTTTTTTTTACATCTAATATTTTGGTAATGATACACGACTCCTGCCTACTGAATACAGTTTGAGTGTTTGAAGTAGGATCAATGAAGTATTCCCACAGAAACATGAGATTGAGCTGAAAAAATTCTCTATGTACCTGAGCACAGAGCTTAGTGTTTAGGCTTTTCTTCTATTATTAATCCATGTTCAGAAGCTCACTCATGTTCAACTTGCTACCTTGAGGAAATTCAAAAATAAACAGATTTGCAGAAAGGCTATGCTGGAATAATTGGTTTGTGTCCATAATGATCCATGAATATCTGAAGCAAGGCTTGTAGAGGAGACAGTAACTTTTGTTAGCTGGAATTGTATTTCAAAGGAGAAAATCTAGAGAAGAAAACCCCGGCAGAAGACCATATGGACACACCAGGGCCTTCATGGCAGGGGGGTTGGAACTTGATGAGCTTAAGGTCCTTTCCAACCCTAACTATTCTATCATTCTATGATTTGGGGAATAATAAAGGGGAGAGGGAATCAGCAGATTTAACTACGTAAATACAATAATTAAAAGGAGTGTTGGAACACGTGGGCTAAATTAAGCTTTCATATACAGTTTCACCTTAAAGAATCTGTGAAATCAAGTATCTGAAGTGTGTGTGGGTGTGTTTTATGTGCAGCTAATACATGGCTGACTGTTCACCCAATGCTGTAGCTTTCTTGCCTCTGATTTCTGCCACAACTTCGTGACATCTTTGCTCAGGATTCCTTAGTTTTGAGAGATTTCTGCAGTTGAAGCAGTTCAAATTATTTTATACATTTTCCAGAACTGTTAGGGTCCATTATTATAATCCCTATATATTAATTTTAGGAATACTGCAAGGTGGAGATGTACTGTTTCCCCTACTGAATTCATACAAGGTTCTTGTTCCAAGATGGATATTATAATCTGCCTCTGAGTACACACTAGCTCTCTCACCTCTGAACCCTTCTTCGACTGACACTCCGTGTTGTGATCCACGCAGATGAAAGGAACTGAGGGTGGAAGGGATGCAAAAACCATTCAGGCTTGAGAGAACAGCCAAAATAAAGCTTCTTTTGCAGTAACAGGACAAATAATTTCAGACAATCGGTAGTACAATAAACTATATTCTACCTCTGTGCATGACCACTGGGAAATAGAAATCCATTTTTCAGTTGAACGAAAGATAGGAGGTCCGAGTGTCAAGATCTTAGCACTAGGACAAGTTGGAAACTTTCCAGTGGAACATTTTTCTCTCAGCTAATGCTGGTTCACCAAAACCTAACACGTTGCATGAAAATGTCTATTCCAATGAAATTTTTGATGGAAATGTGTTTGGTTTCCTGCCAGCTCACCCGCTTTTCCCAGCTCTCAGCTCCCCGGCATCTCACGTGGAATGGTGCCAGAAAGTCAAGTTTCTTCACGTTCTTGGCCTGTTTGGCAGACTGCCACAAAGGATGGGAGTCTGGGCTCACGAAAGTGGACAAGAAACCTTATACATGCACATACAACCATACACATACTCTCACAGGTCATTTAAATCCATGTCAGTTCATTCAAAGTAGAGGGTTTTTTACATAGAGGGTCTTTTAAATATGACCCTCCTATGGAAAATTTCTCATGTCGGAATTTTAATTCCAAGTTGCAACTGAAAAAAAAGAGTGGGGAATATGAAAAATTTTCCTTATGAGGAAAATACTGGTTCCTGTGCAGATGCATGTTGCACTATTGTCATTGAGGCTATCAAGAGCTCCATCTGCTTCTCTTTTCCATTCCATAATAAGGTCTATATTTGTAACAGGTAAGGTGTTTACACACTTACCCTTAACAAAAGAAGATGGTATTTTTAGAGTTTTGTAAATATTTGTTTTAAAAAAATCCTCTTAAGCCATCTTATATAGGGCAGACAATCTTTTCTTGGTCACTAAGGTTTAGTCTGTGGACTGAGGGGATAGAGAGTTTTAATGTTTTGGGCTGAAAAATAAACAGAAAATAGGCACATACACTGAAATTCTGACTGAGAGGTCCCTGAAGCAGGAGCTCTGTAATGTACTTTTCCATAGCTTCACTTCATGCACTGCAAGCTGCTCAGTCACTTATTATATGTAAGTAAATAAATAAACTTCAATCACACTGTGTTAGGTAATTTCTGACTGGGGGGATGTGTTCACATTGGAGACAAAAAGCAGTTGATTCAAGTAGCCAATAATGAATTCCTTTTCTGATTATTCTTAATACCTTGGATTAGCATAACAAAGTCAAACTCTTTAGGAGATCAGTACTTGAAGCAGTTAATTTTTCAATGGAGCTTTTGAGAAGCTTGGATTTATAGTACTAGATAAAGTTCTTACTATTTCTTACTTACCAAGAAAGGATCCTGACTAGAACTCCACTTCTTTGTAAGTTGGTGTTGTGATATTAAGCCTGAGCCTCACAGCCAGCCTGTCAAAAATATGTTGCTTTTGGAATAATAGGAAAATATCAAATGCCCTGTAGAAGATAATTAAAATTTCTGTTTTAGCATAGAACATATTTGTTATGCAAGACAAGGGGAAAAAACATTATTTGTTCTTTTTTTTTGTGGGGCACAACTTGTGGTAGAGCAGGAGGCTGCATTGATGCCGGCCCTGGCTCTTTCATAAGACTGTAATGTGATCTGAAATTGCTCTCAATGTCTTTACATTCTCAAGTGATAAAATGGGAATCCTTCTGTATTAATGATAGCATAATCTACACAAATACTTGCAGCAGGCTTACATAAAATGCAGTTAGAGTCACTAAGAATTAATTTAGGGTGTTGAAGATCTTTATTATGCTGGGAGCTAACTTTGAATGTACTAAATGTACATGGGTTTGCCCTTTCATTGTGGTAGTGCTGAAGAATGCTCTGTGGATTGCAAGCAGCAGAAGAAAGTAAGTATTTAGTGACAGAAAAGATTCTGCCAATTTCAGAATTGTCCTAAAAGCTGTTGTCTTCCTCACTGTGGCTGCACAGAATGGCAAGATCCTTCACTTGCTTTTACCTTGACATCAGTCTATCCATGAGGAGGAGGAAGTGGGATGTGTGCGTATACAAACACAAACAGCAGGATTGAGCAATTCAAATCAGTCCTGTGAAAAGAAATTAAGAAATAAAATCACAAACTTTTTTAATTGGTTTGCTATTAATTGTTCCTTCCTAAAAATGATGCAACAGAAACCTGCATGTTACCAGCTGCTTTCTAATGTCCCTAAATCAAACTCCGTGTTGCCCTCTCGAATCTCCTAATCTTTTTGTAAAGGAGAGCAGAAGGGCCTCTCTACAAAGCAATCTTGACTGTTTTATTTGACTCATTGGGGTGAGAGAAAGAAGGGAGAGGGGGGTTGCAAGGCATATCATGCTGCAAATATGATTCAACATGTGCAATGAAGTGACAGCTGAATTCTTCGGGTCTTTATGTCAAGGAATCAGTGCTGGACTGTGGTGTGTAAGCAAAGACATACTGTTATCTGACTTAGTGTTCTCTAAGAGCAACTGTCTGACCAAGGGGAAAAAATACCAACTCAGCCCTCTGGAAAATAGAGGAACACTGGCACTGACCTTCCACAGCAACTTCCTTGCTTGAAGTGAAGCTCCGCTCTTTATTTACTGTAAGCCTGAACTAGATCTGACCTCTCTCCACTGTTGCAGGCTCTCGCAGCTGCTCTCTGGTGGAATGAGAAAAATCTGATTTCCATACAGAAGTGCATCTTCTGAGATCCTGAACTTTTGCCTGTTCATCCTGACATAATGTGCCATATTTTTCTGATTGTTCTCTGGATTTGTTAAGGGACTCAGATAAGTCTATACTTGAAAATTTGGATCTGGATCCAAGCCTTTGACCATTTCTACCTCATAATCTTAAGGTATTGGAACAGATAATTCCATGGGAAAAAATACACTCGTGTTTTGGGGTGGCATTTTTGGTGACACCTGAGACAGTGGGATATGATTGTGTTGTGTAATGCATGTTGTGCATAATGAGGCTGATGTTCTTAATACAAAAAAAATGGAAAAGAAAAATGCAAACAAAAAGTTTGCATGAAGAAGTTAGTCTCAAGGTGTTTCTGTTCCCAACACACTGACCTCCATGACAATTTCTACAAGCTCTTCCTGTTGAAGGACCTCAGACGTACAGGGAAACCACCCATATCCAAAATACACATCCTGGTACATTCGTTAAACCCAGGGATGGACAAAGATAACAAGCAGGGATTCCTAACTCTATATGCTGAATTGGACTGAGACCAACTGGCCTCTGCGGAATGTAGAATTCTCCAATATTTGGGGGTTCAGGAACATGGCCAGTGCAGTGCTGGGCCTGGGGCACAAGAGGCAGTGGGGGAGAGCAGCCACAGAGCACAGAGCTAACAAATCAGGCTTGGATTTTCACAGGAAGTAAAGGCATCTCTCTTCCATAGTCAGACATGAATACCTGTTGAAAGCTTGTATTTCTTGCTATTATTCCCTCTCCACTTGATGTGGTAAATTAGATCTGGTTTCTTGATCAAGATAGACCAAGATTTCTTGATCCCAAGCTACCTTGATCCCAAAAACTGATTACAATAACTAAATTAAACTGACGCAGTGGTCTGTTGTCCCATCAGATGGCACAGATGAGTTCTACAGTCTCCTTGGAGTCATTCAAATCAACTATTAATAGCTGGATTTAATGTAAGAATTCTGAGGCAGTTCAGTGTTTCTTTGGTATAAGATATTCTGGAGGGTTGGCTTTTTTTCATCCTGAAATTGTTGTGCTGTTTGCGGTACTTAAGAGACAGACTCCAAACGAAGCAGCCATTCCTAACCTATGCAGACAAAGGGAGTGGTTCCCTTAGCAACAGGAACCATGTGGAGGTTCTCAGAGAGCTCTCTTTTCCCCCTACTCGTGTTTTCTTTTAACTCAACATTTTGCACAGCATCTTGCATGGAGACTCCGACAGCTGGGCTGGAGGCAAACGGTTCTTCCGGCTCTGGCTAGCCAGTGCTCCAAAGGCAATTGTTCTGCACTCATCAGACAGCAAAATGATAAGCATGGGTAAGTGAACTGGCACAGGATCAGAGTTCACGCTGAGGAGGGGGAAAGTTTACTGGCTGGCAACCAGAAGTGTCCAGCACTTCCTAGTAGGCATGTATGTTGGAAACAGGGGTACTAATGTGATGATTACCTTGGTTATTGCTAGGATTGCTTGTCTGCATTTAGAATTTCAGGGTTTGGAAACATTAGCACAACTGTGTTCTAGTCCTTAGTATGTTACTGACTTCCTCTATATCCCTGAACCTCTCACCTCTGTGCTTTCCTTCCTCATCCACTAAATGGAGATGATATGCCATCAGGATCTTGAAAGGACTGTAAAATACTGTCGAAATATACCATATTGCTTGTCAGAATTATATTTGCTTTTGAAGTTAATGATAAGGTGTGCAGAATCTGAGATAAAGTATTGCTCTTTTATTGAAGATTTAACTCAATTAACTTTTTGGTAAATCTAGTTGGTTTTTTTATGGTATGGAAGACATGTGTGCATGTAGTGTCGGTACAAACATATGTATATGCATAAAAAATTGTGTATGCCGATGTATAAATAACAGAAATAGAGTAGTTTATTTCCCTCAAAATAGCTGTAGCATTGGTAAAGTACCAGCTGTGTTTCAGTGAAACCCAGCATACTACAGAATAATGAAATTTAATCTTTGTATGTCTTGAAATAAACACTTGCTCTGCTGTCCCTAAAGTATTGTGTATTAGCAGAGCTCTTGCCAGTCTCGGCTGGAAAACCTTAATGCATAAACTCCATAAGTTTGTAGTCATTTACCTAAAAAGAGACATGGGGATTAATCCAATTTTAAGTCAGTTATTTTGTGGGGGACTTGCATAAGGGATGAATTTGTCCCTAAATTATTCCTAATTTAATGTACAAAGTTCCTTGGGTCACAATTTTTCATCATATTTGAATTAAAATTCAGGCACTCAAGTTCATATCGTGACAAAGAGTGCTGCATACTGATCATTTGTATGCAGGCTTCCTTTTATTCCACACTTAGAGGCACGTCTCACAATGTCGCAGTGAAATGCATTTACCATTACAGGCAACTTAGTTGCTCTTATTTCAAATGTGGTTACTGCAGGAAAAAACAGTCATTGGTAACTGCATGCACAGAGCAGCTGCAGAAGTGTCATGCAGTGGCTGTCCACAGTCATATCAATAATGTACTGTCATTACTCTTCCTATTCTTTGCGCAGCACTAACCTTCTGCATGTCACTTGTTATATGCTTGTACAGCACCCAGTACCACTGAGCTTTCCCTACATGATCACTTGTTCAGTCAGAATACTTCCTTTTGGTAGTAATTGACAATTTGTCTCTTGGCTCCAATTCAAATTGAGAAAAATTGCCCTGTTTGCACCTTTCTGAATAATGTTCTCTGCCTGAACAAAGATGAATGCAATACTGTAATGTAATTGAAATGAATTGTACCCCTTTTCTCTCTGTGGTTATATTTCCCTGCTTTTATACCCTATTTCAAACAATACTACTGCATGAACCAGTGATAGTAGCTAAGGTACAGGATTAAAATATTTTATATTTAGTAGGTAGTGTCTGAATTCCTAATTACAGCTCAGTTTGTTGTAGTTTGTAGTATTTGAAGAAATCCTGTGCATAGCAGGGGCTCAGCAAAGGTTTTAAGTAATTGCAGACTGATCTTCTTGATTACTCCCCTTTCCCCATTTGGTGTCTAGTTCTGAGGTTTCCCTTGTTTGACATTGACCCTCTCTTTTTGGGCAGAGTTTATTTTCTTTCAGATGAACAAAATCATCAGTCTTTTTGCCAGGCCTGCTGGTAGAGACTTGGTATGAGTAAACCGCTGGGAGCCACTTTGAGTTACTTCAGATTTAATAAGTTTGAGTTGTTATTAGCAGTAGTTACACCGTGCTTTTCATGAAGCACTTGAAGCATACTGGAAAAGGAAATGAAGCCTCCCCTGAAATCTGGAGACAAGGAAGTAACACTGAGAGATTGCTTAATCCATATCGAGTAAAGACCAAGAATTCTAATCATCTTCAGAAGCAAAGAACAGGAAGCAAAGATCTAATGTAGAAGGAGCAGATTAGACTGATACCAATGCCTATTTCAATCTCTTGCCGCTTTACATATAGGACACACAAACAGACTAAGCTGAAACGGAAGAAAAAGTGGATGTGAGTCTTAAAGGTTAAAGAAATGAATGATGATTGACTTTTAGGAAGAATTATGAGAAGCTTATTTATGTGGCTGGCAGCCAGAAAGCTGGAGAAGTTTCATGCTTTTAGCAAAAAGGGTAATCTCATACAGGTCAAATTTCTGGATCTTACCATTTTTATGTACTATATGATTTTTCAATACCAAGTCAAAGGCAAGGCTTATAATGGGAGTAATTCTTTTTTTCAGTCTGGTTTATTCATTAGAAGATCAGCAGGTAAAACTCCTCCAAGATACCTCTGGCTACAAAGCAAACCATATATTAGTTTATGTATGGTTCATGGCTTTTTCTCTCGTAGCCCTGAAAAGAGGACTGGTGTGATAGTCTGGTGTGATACTGCCCCTAGCAACCTGTTATCACTCATCTGATCCAGTGCTAAAATACATTACTATTGCATGAGGGGCATCCTCTTCTTTAAAGACTTTTCAACATCTTTTGTGGGAAAAGCCAGAAAACCTGGGAACTGTGAATGGTTCTTATGCAGCAGTTTCCAGTCCTGGAACCGGTCTGGCATTTTCAGAGAGCCTAAAGGATTTAAGAAGCCAGGATTAATGACCTTATACAGTCTGAAACTGCTGTTCAGCAAAGTAGATAGAGTCTTTATGATTGTGTCGTTTAAATCCTGACTCTGGGTATGTCTACATTGCAAACTTTGCAATGAGGCTAGAGATCCATGTAGGTCAGATGCCAATTAGTCCATGGGACTAATGGCCCAGCTCTTTGCTTATATAGACGGAGACCCTGAAAGCAGACAAAGTGCCCCAAACCTTTCATTGCCCTGACATTGCACTCAGTCATGTTGTATCACTGAGCCAAATACATCTTAACTGTAGCACGTGTGCTCCTATTGACATAGGTAACAGCAGCTGTAGCAGCACTGCAGCAATGAGTTTAGCTTGTTCCAGGTTGATGGGAAGACAAACTCTCCCAAAACCCACGAGAGTACACTAGATTCTAAGGTGCACTAAACCTAGTGCCTTCACATCTTTGTTGCTAGTGCTGTTCTTGCTAGCTCATTTATGACAAAATCTGCTATGATCACATTATGTTAACTTGATGTGTAGGCATACTTGATGTGGTATAAACTGTACTGAATAAACAACTAGAAAGTGTTACAGCCCAAAGGTTTATTTCACTGAATAAAAGTATTCCCCACAAATTAAGATGTAAAAATAACAATGTGATGTACTTAAAAACTTAATGGCAAGGAGCAGTGTACATACATTTTCTAAAGTAGAAGAGTAGGTAGGACATCTGAAAGAGTTCAGCAAGAACTTTGGATAAACAAGCCTTGTTTCAAAGCTTATTTCAAATACATAAATATCACACATACGAGAAGATATAGGTCAATGTTTCTTCTACTTGAATGTAATCAATAGTTTTAACAGGAAGCCTTATGGAGAACTGGTATTCCTTATTTCCTCATTTTTAATCACTTGCTTCTATTAACTCTTTAGTCATGGGATTCGTAAGCTGTTTTCTCCCCTTATAACAAACTGATTTTACTTCTGTTTTTGTTTATAGATGTTGCATTTCCATACTTCCTTTCTCTTATTTTTCTACTCAGTGGATAGAAACCAAATCTTTTCTTTCTTTTCCCTGGTCTAGTGGAAGTCATCCCTGCGTGTGGCAGGGGGTTAGAACTGGATGAGCCTTAAGGTTCTTTTAAACTCAAACCATTCTGATTCTATGAATCTCTCTCTACTCTCTCAGCACTGTTGCAAAAAAAAAGCACATAAATGTGTTTGTAGAGTTCGCTATGTAGAAGCTATTCTGAATTGTAATAAATGTATTCATGGGATCATCTTCAGACTCTAGTCTATTGCCTGGGACAGTTGTAAGAAACACTAAATGACACGTTCTTCAAAATAAACAATAACCATGGTTTATCATGCCATTTGTCTCTCTCTAGTAATATTTCCCTTTGAACTAAAAAAGGTAAAAATAAGACCTGAAAAAGGTCCTTTGCTGAACTTGCAGCCTGCCCTTGTGTCATCTTCAAGCCTGTATAAGGATCATCTCCTGTATGACTCAGATTAGGTTTTTCTGTAGAGGTAAACTTTGGGAGTTTGGGATGTATTTTGTAGGAAAGTCTGAAAGTTCAGTATGAACTTAAAGTTGATGCCTAAACTTGCCTTCCCCAGAAACATACCAGAAATGCATATACAACAGCTCTGAGTTCAGGGTTAGTTTTTTGCCTTAAGGCAGTCAGTGGGCTGAGAAAAATAGAAATCTGCAGAGGGATCCTAAAACACCCTTTCCAAAATCTTTTAAGACTAATGCCTCCTTTTCCTTTTGCATCCTGACAATG